TCCTTCCATAAAAAGTGAACCTCCCATATTTTCTTATAATAAAACTAACAGGGTATTAAACTTACTGTTCAAGTAGCAGGTACAGTCATGGCTTCACATTTTATTTTCCTAAAGATTTAATTCAACTTTTCCAATTTAATAATGTCAGAATGTAACAACCTGTCTGAAAATATTAAACTGTACTTACAAAGTGTTTGTAAACTCATCATCCTTTCATTATTCCTAACATGGTTTACTGCAATAACTTTTTAACTTATTTATTTGCTTCCACTCTTTTCCACTAATTTTTCCATATGATCAACAGAGTTACTTTATTAAGAAGCAAATATGGGCCAGGGATTTAGCTCAGTGGTTTTGGCGCCTGCTGCACAAGCGCAAGGACCCAAGTTCGATCCCTGGCACCAAAAAAAAAAAAAAAAAAAAGCAAATATGATTATGTCATTGCCCTTATAAATACTTTCCATGTTCTGGACCATTTCCAGGATAAAGTCTAAATTCCTTACCATGGTCTTCAAAGGTCTATTATCTAATTCTTACTAGCTATTCTTTTCCTCTTGCAAGCTATATTCCAAAAACTAAACATTCTGCCAAAGAGATATATGTTTCTTGACTTTGTACCCTTATTCATACATGGAATGTCCACCCACTCTTCCCCTCCTGGTGATTTCTTATTTGTAAGCATTAATTTCTCTGTAAAAACCAATTTATGGCATTCTCCATTCCACATCATAACCTACCCCAGGTAATATTTTACTTATCTTTCCCTTGTAGTTATAATAAAACGTTACTGAGATAAAATTCCTATAACATAAAATGAATCATTTTAAACTCACTCATTCCTTAATGTTTATACATTCACAGTGCTGTGAAAATACTACCTGTATCTAGTTTCAAATGGTTATAATTTACCCCACATATTCCAATAAAACCACTTCTTTGAGACCATAACACTGCATACATAACAGGTATTCAATAAATAAGATGGAATCACATATTTGACTATGGAAAATTACCTTAGAGATTATTTTTATCCTCTTTTTATTATCTTGTTTTACCAAACAAAAAACAAAAATAGGGAATTAAGCCTCATGTTCTGGGCGGGTTCATGCTATAGTTTTGATACTAAACATTCCCTAAATATCCATGTGTTAAAAGGCTTGGTACTACTGGGAGGTGGAAACTGTAAGAAGTGAGGCCTAGTGGGAGGTGCTTAGGTCACTAGGGACATGCCCTGGAAGAAGAAAGTGGGACCCCACATCCTTGTTTCTTTTCCCCCCTCTCACTGGCTTCCTGGACATATGTGAGTGGTTTTGCTCTATCCCTGATATGCTGCCTCACCACAGAAGCTATGAGGTTAACTAATCATAGACCAGAACCTCCAAAACTGTGAAGTTAAAACAAATCTTTTCTCTTTTTAAGTTGATTACGTCAGGTATTTATTATAGTAACAGAAAATTGATTAACACAGAAAAGATAGAAGAGCTCTCCTCTCAAGAGTATATTAAGGAATTGGGCATTCTGGAATTAGTTTATAATTTGGATTTTGTAGCATTCATTCAACAAATTTTCCTGTGAGTTTCCTATGTGTCGGCACTGCTGGTTACATCACTGAACAAATAAACAGAATCCATGTCCAAAGCTAACATTCCAGTATGGGGAAGAGAGATGATAAACATCATAAAGTATATAACATTTTAAAAGGTGAAAACTGCTATAGAAAAAAAACTAGAGCCAGTTAATTAGATTGAAAGTTCTATATAGAACCATGAGGTGCATAGCCAATGGAAATTACATCAGTATGTCTAAGAGAAATCTGCACTTGTATGCTCATTGTGGCACTATTCACAATAGCCACAAAAGGAAATCAACCTAGGTGTCTGTTCATGGAGGAATCAATTTTTTAAATGTGATATATACACATACACACACATACACACATAATGGAATTTATTCAGCCATAAACACAAGTTAAATTCTATCACTTGCAGCAACATAGATGGAATTTGAGGACATTACATTAAGTGAAATTAGGCACAGAATGACAAACACTACATATTTTCACTTATATGTAGAAGCTAAAAGTTGATCTCATAAAAGTAGAGAGGAGAATACTGATTATGAGAGCTGGGGATGGGAGGATGAAAGGAGGGTGGTTAATGGGAATGAGTACAATTGGATAGGAGGAATAGCTTCTATGTTCTGTAGCACAGGATAACTATGGTTGACAATTATTTATTTCAAAATAGTTACTAGAAAGGATTCTGAATGCTCCCAATAAAGAAGTGATAAATGTTTGAGGGATGGATATGCCAACTGCCCTGATCTGATCATTACACATTGTGTACTGACATGATCATTACACATTGTGTATTGAAATGTCACACTATATCCCATAAAGATTAAAAGACTTTAAGTCCTAGAAGGCTTGAAGGATTACTGAAGAAGGAATGAGCTAGAAAGATAGGAGGTAAGGATCAGAGAGTAAGATGCATGCAATCGAGAATATGAAGGATGTGTAGCAATAAGGTGAAATGGGGAAGAGATCCTTGGAAGAGTTCACAGAACAGATGATGAAAGAATCATCTCTACAGACACAGAAATAATAAAAAATTAAGACTGAGTGGGTGTGGAGATAATGACTGAGAAGAAAATCAATAAAAAATAAAGAGTGACAAGTTGGAAGATTCCTGCAACATGCAATTCAGTTTAAATATTTTAGAGAAAATGAGGGAGAACAGACAGGAAACAGCTGTGAAAGCAAAAGACACCTACTCCAGCCAGCATGTTACAAGGGCTGTGGGAGAAAAATAGCCACCCCGTGACAAGACTTTACGGAAGACAGTGACCCCAGGAAAGATACTGGTTCTCAGAGGCCAAAGGATAGGAAGAAGAAATAGTTGATTTTGCAAATGATAAAGCTGCAGCAGGCACAGCGAAGGATTTTAAGAGGTGAGGAAGGATGAATGGAAGACAGGGTCAGAAAAGGAGACACAGAACCATAAAGAGGGTAAAGCATGGGGAATGAGGTTTCCTAGGTGTCTAAGGCTACTTGTAATGACTGGCTTAGAAGAGGATGAAATACACATCATGAACAGTTATTTTATGAGACAAAGGGGGCCCAAGCTTGGCTTACAGTTGACCAGAAATATTTAATCAATTTAATTTAATTTATAATCAATTTAATCAATTGATTATATCTTGATTCTGGATAAGGCATGCTTCTTGATATTCTGCTTTCTATTACTGGGGATCAAACTTGGGTCCTTGTGCTTGCGCAGCAGGTGGCGAAACCACTGAGCTAAATCCCTGGCCCTGCTCTCTATTCTTGAACTATAGTACTAAACTAAAAATGTAGGCAAGGGCAAAAGGATGGCAAATAATCTGTTTATATCATTCCCTGTTAAGAGCTCTGATGAAAGACTGATGATAGGTGAGTTAAAATAAGCATTATGAATTATGTTTATTACTAATATTCATTCACTCTACCAATTTTTATTATATAAGTACTTAACACAGTAACACATACAAGAATGTTCTGGAATAGGTCGGTGTTTATTAAATTATTTGCATAAAATTAAATTGAATAGTATTAAAGTACTAGAGAAGGGTCATGGGTAGGGAGATGCTAACAACAATAAGGTATATTTTTCAATGAGTGAAGGAAAAGAATAAGCAAGTTCTTCATGGAGGCACACTACCTGGGCCCTTTCAAGTAAGCACTGCATATTGAAATGTGAGAAGAAACTAAAATAGCTTTTCTGTTATTACCTTGTCTTTATCAAGTTTCAAAAGCTGAATAAGAGAAGAGACACAGAAGAAAAGGAAGAGGGAGTAAAGAGGAAGAGAAAAGGGAGGTAGGAATCTACAAATGAGAATTAGGAAATACGTTTCCCAATCATTGCTTCTTCTGAACAGACTTTTAGGAAGGAAGACTTACTGAATGGATATTTTCCCAAATTGTTATTCACATATGTTTCAAATTAATCTTTCTCCTTCATTGAATCAGAAATTTTCTTCTTCTCTCCCATTATGCCTGTTCTGTGTCAAGATCATAGTCACTATTTTTTTAAATGTGTAGATGATATAATTACTAGAATAATATTAATTACCAACAAGCAAATGAATGATCTGGATGTGTAAGAATTTGTATGTGTAAACAACTGAAGGAGTAAAGTAGTAATGGTATGTGATAAGTTCTAGTTTTTAATTTACCAGAGCAGAACTTGATGCCTAGTGTGGATTACATTCTGTCTGCCTCTGCAGACCTACACTACTCTCTGCCCTTCGTTCTCTCTCTATGTGTTTCAGGAAGATAACCTCTACAGAACATATTAAAGTAATCTTTTACTGCCTTCAGTGTAGATCTCTGACCAATAGGGACAATGGCAAGAAATCAGCAAGCAGAAGAGACTTAGGGTGTTTTCTTGTTGGCCATCTGTGGTTTTTGGTAGAGGCTGTGCTCTTCTGTGTACAACCACAGCAAATGTCATATAGGTTCTCATGCAACTACAATTCTCTGAATTCCAGAAACCTGGCTTCCTTCTGTTACCCTGAAGATAGAGGGTGTAACTGCTTTTGGCTGTTGCTAGCTCACGGCTGCTACATCACCCTATGCTGCTCACTCATCTATAACTTGTCCTTTCATTAAACCTCTTCCAATGAATCCACTGAGCACACCAACTGTTTTTCTTAGGAGCTAAAGTGATGTAATTTCCAGTAGCTCTTTTAGGCTATTTTCAGGGTCAGGTCTACCCACTCCAATTCTTTCTCATTCCAAATTTCTCAACTTAACTCGGTGTCTCTTCTGTTCTTCAGTGAGAATGCAGCCCCTATATTGTGGAACTCATCCTTCTTTGGAACAGCATCTCACTCTGCATTAGCAACCCTTTAGATGTATGTTGTTGAAGTCTATATTTGTGTAACACTAATTATCAACACAAAAATAAAATATATATAATTCCAGACTTTTCTCAGAAAGGAGAAGTAGCTTTCCATCTTACCTCCTTCTCCTTGTTGAGCAACACCAACTGGCTGTCTGTTAGGATGCAGTACTTCCGTTCCCATGTTGTTGTCTCAGTGTAGGGTGACTGACCACAGGACAGACGATGGGTGGGTGGTCCTTTCACATCTGCATTACATAAGAAAAACAAAAGTGACAAATCATTATCATGATTAGTAAATCAGTATTTCAAATGCAAGTCTCTTCAAAGTCAAAGTATAACTTTGAGTCTAAACATGAATTTCAATGGTAAATTGAAACTTCTTTTTCAGAAAATAAAAACTGTTGTATACAAAACAGAAAAAAATTATCCCTGCAAGCTGTAGGAAGAAGGCTGAAATACTGCAGGTGAACAGTTACCACAAACTTGAAACAGTAATTATCGGTGTATATATACACTAAAATAATGGGAAGATGCTTCAGGGCTAAGACAGTGTAATTCAAACTAAAGAGGTGAGGGTTACTGAGACACAGGAACAAAAGATACAGCTTCTAGCCTTTAGGAAGAAGATGATGTTTCATGTATACTTTGAGAATACTGTTGACCAAGAACTGAAAGAGTAAAGTTATTGGCAGAACACATATATATATAAAAACTAACTTTATACCCATTAAGAATTAGAAATACTTAAACAATAGCATCATATTACCACTAGAGGACAGTAAGATCTTAAAAACAAAACAATTTCCTTAAGGAAAAATCTAAATGTATTACCCACCATATTTTTTAGAGGTAGAGGTACCTAATATTAAAGCAAAAATTTTCAACAATTCTCAAATGCCTCATTTCCTTTTAAATACCAACTGGTTACCAACACCACCTTTGCTACTTTCAATTTTTTTTTATATGAACTGTTCACTCATTTGGGCTATTGTAAATCTTGGGAGGTATCTTAGTCATAAAGATACCTTAGATCCATTAAACAAAGATTTTATGACAGTTCAATATGTATCAAAATCTCTTTAGACACAATGGACTGATTCCTCTCAGGAATATACTGAAATGATTATTTAAAATACATTACTATTTTTTAGTTATTGTAGTAGATGAACAAATCAAACTGAAGAGATAAGAAAACAAACACCCATTAAGTCAGGAGAGTTATAAATTATAAATAAGCATATTATGACTGTAAAAATTAGAATACAAGATACTGTATTTAGAGCATAACCCAAGTTTCCTGACAGAACAGAAATCTGTATCAACACCAAATTTCAGAAAACCTAATTTCCCTTTTTGGTATGATCCTGAGTAATTCTCTTAAAACCTCAATATCTAATGTTCTCTTTTGTCCTACCTGAACTTTGTTTTCATTTCTTCACATTATTATGAAACAAGACATTGCCTCAAAGTGTTTTGGGACCCTTAACCATTTGTCTCTAGTGCTAAGGGTAGGGTGAAATAGGGAACAACAAAATAGGGAGCAATACCTCTGTATTTAAAAGACTTCTGTTTTAATGATGAGTCAGATTAGACATCTTACAGATGTCATAGTTTTATCTATTTTTTTTCTATCTACAGGCAATTCCCACTTTTTAAATCATAAGACTGCACAGAAGAGGGCTGGGGATGTAGCTCAGCAGCAGAGCTCTTACCTAGCACGTGCAAGTTCCTGGTTTCAACCCCCAGTACCACAACAGACAGACAGGCAGAAGACAGACAAAGATGCATGGAAGAAAACAAGACAGAAGAACTAAGTGATCATTTTTGTTTTATTAGTACTTCTGGATTAAGGTTTAAGAAGTGCTTTAAGTAATAAGATAAAGTAAAAATTTTAAATAACCTATAGATTTAATGTATTCATTCTATCATGACCTTATTCAATGTATTATGTCCTATTTTCTTGGCTAATTAAAGGCTTAATAGTACATGAGCAAGGCCTATATAATGAGATTACATGAATAGGACAAGCTCAGACTTTTGCCCTGTTTCACCTTACCAATTCTACCAGTCTTTATATTTTGCTCTAGTGACTTACTTCTAGTTTGTGACTTTCAATTATTTTTAGTATCTAAAATTCACTAGAGAAAAGGATAAGTAACAGAATCACAAAGAAGCAAAATTAGAAACTATTTTAGATTTGTTCTGTCTTATTCCTATGATGATACTAAGGACATTATATGCTGGCCTCATTATAACAAATTAAATAATTTTAGAAATATTAAAAGAATCAGAGGTGTTTTAATAGATTCCTTTGGAAGCCACTTCTTTAAAACTGGATTATTATTGTGTAAACTAACAGTTCTCATTTTCTAAATTTTTTTTCAGTATTTATTTTTTATTAGTACATGTTCACATTACATAATGATTACATTCTTTATGGGGAGTTGGTAAGTGTACAGAACACATTTTAATTTTTTTACTTCCCCTTCTCTCCCTCCCTGATAGTCTTCTTTCATACAGTACCAAAACCTGACCAGCAGTTACTTTTTAAAAATCAGTACAACGTGGACTCTGAAACCTCATTAATGAACTTATCATGTTACTAAATTTAAAATAATCACTGGTCCGTCTTGTCCTTTGAATGACTCTTTCATGGCAACAGCAGCAGATCTCTCTTGAGTTAAGCTGTGAAGGGAAAAAGGTGCATTGTGGCCCATCACAAGATGAAGATGAAACACAATCACCTGACAGCTGGAAATTTCAGTAGGCATGTATATATGCACGTTTTTCTTAGAAGGTAAGTAACCTGCAGAAGTTGAAGGCAGAAGAAATAATGTTACAGCTGCCATGTAGAGATGATCCTTAACAATGGCGATAACTAACATGCTGTTGAAAAGCAGCCTACAGTAAACTGGAGATATATGACGATATTATTTAATAAATATATTAATGCTCTCTGCTGAAGACCTAATATACCTGGCAGGCAACAATTCACTCTCTTTCATTCTATGGCACAGAAAGGAAAGGCAAACTCATTTGGGTGATTAATATGGTTTAATTCTATTTATTTTTATGTTTCATTACCTTCCCACCCTCTAAATTATATAAAAATGTTACAAAATACCCTGTTAACAGAACAAAAATTTTCTTAAACGTACAACTACCTAACATAAGGGTGCAAACTTTGCTTTATCCTGACATATAATAAAACTTCGGGATGGCAAATTATATTATAACTCATATACAATGAATAGTCCCAGGAGATTTAAATATGGCCACATGAACACTGATAAGTAAGGATATTAATCAATGATTTAATGTTTAAAACACAAAATTAGTCCAAAATGTCTGACTTATGGAAACACAAATCTCAATTCTTACAAAATTATACATTCACTGAGATCATAATTGTTTGTAAAACTGAATTTACATTGAGTTTCAACCTGAACGAACCACTTTAGGCTCCTTCTCAACTACAGAGGCATAATATCCACCCTTGATCACTGGTGTCTGATCAGTAAATCCCTATGGTCACCATTGCTTGCTAAGAGAAGGACAGGGGAGAGAGCAGATAGTACACTTCTTCCTAGTGAGTAATTTCCTTATTCTAACATTTGCAAAGAGTCCCTCTGCATCACTATAACTCAGCACGGAAGTTCTCACTCTGCTCTATCACAGGGCAGAATAAGTTATCTGGCAGTAAGTTCCTTGAAAATATGACTGACTTAGACTCTTGTTTGTTTGATAAAGGTGACATTCTCTTTAAAGAAGAGTTAATTTCAGTTTTCTGCTATCACCTAGGTATTTTAAGAAGATGGCTGGATGGGACATGATTCCTATGATGGTTCTACCTTGCTTCTCCCTTCCACATCACTGTTTCAGATCACACTGCAAAATTACATGTGCCACGAAACAGCAGGCAAAACAGAACACATGGTTTTCTTCCACTTTTTAGGCAAGCACTAGAAAAAATGAGTCCCATAATTCCCACATTGGGCCAAGTACTGCTTAAGTAACTACATTGCTTGTGTAACTGAATGAAGTATTATAAATGGTACCAATGTCAAGCAAACAGGAGGTAAGTCTATCATAGACCTCCCCTCAATCCTAACAGACTTAATGCATCTACATAGTTCATACTAAAACTCTTAAACAAAAAATATAAAATACTTAAGATAAAATAATCCATTTATATTCTAATCTTTTGATAAAAAAGTCTATATGGAAGTTTTTCTCAAAGTAAGATTTTGTGCTAATTCAAGAAAAGTGTAAGAAAACACTAGTCTGCCCCTTAAAACATGACAATGGTGTTCTATTATTAAAAAATCAAAACTTAAAATCCTTTTCATGTCTCATGTTTCTGTTAATGGTAGAAAATATGAACTGCACTAAGAATCTCAAACACCATTTAGTGAACATTCCTTTTGTTATATTTAGTACCTCTTCCTATATTAATATACCCCCATGCTTGCCTCTTTTTAAATTGACTCTCATCACTTTCCTTTAGGGACAGCTGCTGTGGGGAAAGAATCAGAGCTTTAAAAGGAATGTGAGTTTTACTTGAGAGGGGAAAAGAATAAGTAGTTTACTAGTACTAAGAGATCAGTTTCTGTGCTTCTAAAAAACTGGCTAAATAGTCAATACTATGACATTATCTCTGTATTTTAATGAGCAAAAGAAGACGGACTGCATTAAAACAAAAATTGTCAATCATCTAGCAAGATCATAAATCATTAATAGCTCTATCTCTCTCCATAGTGTCCACTGGAATAGAAACCACAGGTAAATATGCATCTTTTTTTTGAATTGTGATCTGTTTCAATCACAAATCACTAACTATACAGTAAGAACTATCACGAAGGTAATATATGCTTCTCTAAAGAATCCTATCAGGCTCCCTGGTAGGTGGACAATCCAGTTCAATGAGCTGTGTCCTGATATAACCTACCTGGATTATGACAGAAATGAAAAACCTTTCTTTTTTATAAAAAAACAATACAAATCGACCTCAAGTGAGTAGCAGGGGAAAAAGCATTTAGATTTTCTTTGCAATATAATCAGTACAAATAGAGAAAGACATCCTCTTAATCTATTCATGCAAATGTTAGAGAGAGCAAATTCTCACATAACGGGACTGTATTCTATGATTTTATTTATTCATGTATTTTAATTTTTTCTCTTTTGAGCAGTTCTTGGAATGGAACTCAGGGTTCTGCATGTGTTACAAGAACTAAGTTATACTCAC